CTTTACCTCTTGTGTCATTCAACCGGTCCTAAAAGCACAGAAGGATTGGCCATTCTGAACGCAGCCTGAACAAGCTCGACTCGATCAGGTGCTTCACAGTGCGACAGCGCTGCGAATCCCGAGCGATGTTTTACACAGGCACATATCGCCTCACAAAGAGCGTTTGCTAAATGATCACCTCCATATGAACGACATGTTTCACATCCTACCTGAGCTTCTACTAACACTCCCCTAAATTTCGAAGTCCAGCAGGGGATGACAGGCACCTCCAATGGACAAGTTTTGGCGCGGCGTCAGCCAAAAACGATCGTCCGTTGTGTTATACACAACAAGAGACCCGTAATGGGTCGTGCGCCCGATACAGCATAGCCCGCAAGAAAGGCGAGTTGCCACGCTCCGTGCGGCAACCTTCGTTTTCGCTGCAAACGCGGGGGCGTGCCAGAGGCTGGATTTAGGGTAGCGGCGGCCCACTCTCCACCAATTTCTGAAGCGGGCAAACTATGAAAATCGGTGGAAAACGCGCTAGTGCCGTGTCGGACCCAACCTAATCCTAGCACGCCTCGTGTGTAGGGAGAACGACCACCATTTCTGCGCAATACCACTGATTAACCCTGGTCCGCGGAGGGGCAAGCCAACCAACAAGGTCGGCTCTAGCATTTGATCTCTGCAAGTTGCAGTTACACAACTCTACCTCTCTATTTTCAGGCCTTCCAATTTATGCGGCACCGTTCGAGAATTCCTCGGTCGGTGTAGATCGAACAGCAAAAAATCATAATGGCGTAGTATGTACATCAAGAGAATGTGTTACAATAGCAGGTTTTCTAGCTGGGAACCTCAATGATAAGGTTTGTACAGTCGTACATTGTACTTTCTAGAAGGGCTCAGACTTCGTTTTTAGGTTGATCCATGTGAAGACTTCTACGAATTCGCATGTGGTAATTATGGTTTGAACCGGAATCTTCCCGGCAACAAACCACTTCGTCATACTATCAGTGATGTACAAAGTAGGCTAAACAAACAAGTGAAGAGTATACTACAGGTAATTCAGCTTCATGACTAAATTTTTTTCCGAACACACTTTAGGTTTGAGGTTTCAGAAGCAGTGGTCTCGCAGAGGGCGTGAACGGAAGGTTGAGCTAAAGTCGTACAGTGATGAATCCTCAGCAAGAGGGGGGGACTCGTATATGGTTGCTAAAGGGAGGGGGGGGGGTCATACTCGGCCTGGGAAAACTTTGTGACAGTCGATTTTACGCGGTATTCCCATCGTTGGGAGACTCTTACTGTGGAGGGGAGAGAGAGAGAGAAAGAGAGTGTGTGTGTGTTGTGTGTATATGTGGGAGTCGGTGTATAAGG